GCTATAATTTCAACCATCCTGACAATCTCGCTTATAAATTCATTTTAATTGACACTCCTGGACTAAGTGATACAAATGGCGTAAAGCAAGACGATAAGAATATCCAAGAAATTATAGATACGGCAATTTCCGCTGGTTCTTTATCTGCAATTGTAATAATTGCGAATGGAACCGAAGCTAGAGTAACCCCATCAATTAAGAATACTTTGGTTGGGTTAGCAAATAACATTCCTGATGACCTTATTGACCGCAATTTATTGCTTGTTTTAACAAAATGCGCAAAAAGCAGTGCTTGCTTTTCAGAGGATTCTTTTGCAAGAGAAATTGCAAAGCCAAAGGTTGGTGCATTATTTATCGCCTATTTGCGTTATGCAAATTTTAGCGTAATTTAATTTACCATCCTTTATTTTAGAGAATATTCTATATGGACAACCAAGCCTTCTGTACCAACCCTCAAATTTGGAAGAATGACGAAGATGAAAGTCACACTGTTCAATTTCATTGGAATAAGTCTATTAAAACAATTGATAATTTACTAATGGAAATTACCGAAATGTCTTCTACCTCAACTCAAGCTTTTGAAAAGATGAAAACATATAGAGATAAAATTAAATCCGAAATTGTCAAAGTGACACAAGATATTGCAAATATTCAACAAATCCAGGATTCTCTAGATGCTGCTCAGAAGGCCCTGCAAAAAACTGGAGACAAAAAAAATTCTTTCTCTAACTATACGAAAACAGAAACTAAAACACTTAAAAAAATTGTTAATGCTAGCTATCATAGTACTGTCTGTACCCTTCACCTAAAGGATAACATTATTTGTCATGATAATTGTGGACTTGAGTTTAAAAACAATTCTGGAACTAACCACTTTAAATATTGCGCTTGTATGAATTCGAACAAAATATGTTCGAAATGTGGATGTGGACCCCTAAGGTAATGTCAAAGTCATAATATTTTACACGTTTACGTCTGTATTAATTATCAATGTCAATAATTTTATAGTCATTTTCACGACAATGTTAAATTAGTTGAAGAAACAAAAACCATCAATAGTATTCTTGAAGATATTAAAGCACAATACGACAACGCAAGTCAACAATATAAAAAATATAGCAATGATGCAGATAATTACCAATCATCCCTTGCAACTCTTCAAGCCGCTGCAAATGCTAAATATGAATTCATTCATAAACTTTGCCACGATTTAAGCAAGATTTGTTCTAGATTTAACTTTGTTGATGAACTTCACGCAAATATTGAGAGCATGAAACAAGATGCTAGAACATTGCAGAATACCAATCTACGAAAAAATGCTGAAGCGGAGATCCAAAGACTTGAGAAGCTTGCGAATGATTTGTCTTCTAAACGAAGAGCATGATAGTTACGATGCCTTGTAAAACTCATCTAGTTGATTGAAAATTTTCACAAGTTTTGCAATTAACTTTGATTTTTTAAATTTTTCAGAGTCGAGTCAGAATAATTATATAGTATTTTAAGTAAATCAATAAATGCAATATCTTTTAGTAAAACTTATTATTATATTTCTTTTGAAAAAAATGCAAAAATATTTAAAATAATCAAATTTTTAAATAAAGTAATTAAAGAAAAATTGCATATAACCAAAATTATATGATATAAAAATATATAAAGAGAGATATTATAATTTTTTAACCTCTATTTGGTTAGTCACATATGCTTTATTAACCTTTTTGTAACTATACATGGTTATATACTATTACTAAAAATATTCTTTAACTAACTTTATTATAATTTTCATCAACTCTAAATACACTTTGAAAGTAAATATTACTGTATTGATGGTTCAAAAAAAAATCTTTTTAACTATCAGTTTCATCATTTGCAGATTATTACTTCAAATTTTTATTTTAAATTAATATTAAGTTTTAACAAAAACAAAAATTCAATTATATTTTATTCTGTTTTTAAGCTTTTAAGGATTCTATTTTAAGCTTTTCTTTTTCTAGTTTTTATATAAATTTATTCGAGTAAAACTTTATTAATTAGAAATATTTATTTGATCTTAAATTTTATATTTACAAAGTTTATATTTATATTTATTTTATTATTTTTTTATATATTATATTTCAGAATTTTTTTAAAAAATAGTTGCTTTTTTTTATATATCTTCAAGGCTATTGTTTGATTTTAAAATTAATTTATTTTTATAATACAATAAATTTTCAGTTTTTTTACTAATTTTTATTAGACTTATAAAAAGTTTAACATATTATAACTATATATATAATTAAATATATATAAATTATTATATTTAAAAAAAAAAAACTCTTTATCACAGATCACAGATTTCTTAAAAATTTCCTTTTATAGTAATTTTTAAAGAAAAAGAAAAAGTGAATGGGGAGATAAGTTCACAAAGAGAACTGAGAAGTAGACACTTACAAACAAGACCCAACTATAATGAAACCATTTTGATGAAAGGAAACACAAGAGTTATATGCAAAGAATTCAATAGGAAGCTCTCGAAGGAAACCACTCTAGACAAGGAAAAAATAACCAGCCAAGTGGAAAACAAGGCACATGAACAGAAAAACAACATAAAAAGAATATATTATATCACAGAAAAAGAAAAAGAAGCTGAGCAGATAAGCTTTTCTATAACAAAACCCCAAGCACAATAGAGTGAACAAGTCAAAGAAAACTTCTAACAAGATGGTCAAAACACAAAAATTTTTTCATTCTGAAGAGGGAAATAGAATATGAAACCACTGCAACAGCCTCTATAAGGGAACCTCAAGAAAGAAATAAAGAAACAGAAGTAGAGAATACCCTATATAAGAGGACTTTAAACCAGGTCCATCTACAAACATAACATAGTATAGGAAAACCTTCCATCTATATAGTAAACTAGAAGAAAACTCGAATCCCTATTACAAATATAGATTTAGATCCCCCTTTGATAGAAGCATTAGATATAGCAGAGAAAGAGTAAAAGTTGATATTAAAGCTATTGAAATTCCAGGAAAAATATCTACTCAAAAAATTACATACTTGATAAAAAGTCTCAACTCTCTCAAAGGTTTGATAGTAATCTGTAGCGAGGAAAAAAATGAAGATAAACACATTATTGCTATATTTGGAGATCAATAAGCAGCCAATGAAGCATGTAACACTAACTTATCTAATACTGATCATGAATATCTCAGACATATGGCAAACACCCCACCAGAACAAAAAAGGAAAAACAGTATCAGAGTATAGGTCATCCCACTAGATACAAAATTTCTTATAATGCAATAAACCTTTTCTAAATATGGAGTGATCACCAACATGAGTATATCTATATAACAAATGTGGCAAACTACAACTATCACCTTTTCTGAAAAAGAGGAGAAAGACCAAATCATAAAGAAATGAAGTATCTCTATAAAAGTAGACTCAGTTAAAGTTTTCAATGCACAATGGTTTTTACAACAAATAAAAAATCAAGGCACCATTGCAATCAAACTTATAAAATTATTACCAAACACTGTAGCCTTTGACCTCTGTCATATCTGTACACAAAGCAAGACAAAGATATGTTATATCCCAAGATACATATTATATAAGAGAAAATGTTTTGCAGTCATAAGCTTTGAAATACAAGAAGACTTAGATACAGCAGTAGCATAAAGTTTTCAACTTGGTGAAACTATCACAGAATAAAAACCTATCGCAACTAAACTATACACCATATATAGTAGTACAGACTATTTAGTAGCAAAGTGTCTATCCAAGAAAAGAAGGACATAATAGTAACAATATCATTATGAACAAGTAAACAAATTTGAAAAATTATACAATAAAAACAGACCAGCATGTACAAGTATAATCAAAACCTGACAAACCTCCTAAAAATAAAAGAACAAATCCAGACTCATATACAATAGCAGATAGACAGAATCACAACAACAAAGAAAGATCTAAAAATCAAGAAGAATATGATACTCTCAATAAAATCTTGATAATCCTGAGAGATCTCCAAAAGAAATCACAACTATCAAAAAAGACATTGCAGACCTCAATGAAAGAATCATATTTCCAAAAGTGGAAGACATGGAAACTACGAGTCAAGCTGGAGAGGAACCAATCCCCTCAATAAGTATAGCAACAATATAATAATCAAACATAGGAGAAAACTGGCAAAATAGCATTCAAGCACAACAACAATTATACGCATAAATCAATAGAATGGATAACAACATGAACAGAGTTCTTGAGATAATTACCGGGTTTATACTAGGAAACACAAATATACAAACCCAACAATAATAATATAAGGAGTACTATAAGCACTTTACCTCAAGAAAAAAATATTATCAAAAATACCCCAGATCCTTAATTAAATAAAGAAATTCAAGAAGACAATATGGGAAATATAATAGAAAACCCTATCAATCAATTCACCTCTCAACAAATATTGACTAACAAAAATAACAACCAAAACACAGGAATAGTAGAAAAGTTTCAGTTACCAATTTGGAAAGTAGCTACCTTCAACTGACAAGGAATCATAAAAGAATATAAAAAACAAAACTGGTTCAATATGTACTATACACAGCAGTGAAGTATAATAGTCACTACAGAAACAAATAGATCTTTAGTACAATTAAAGCACTGGAAACATCCTGAATATCACATAATTTGAATTCATGATAAAACACAAATGATCAAACAAAATTTAAACCTAATAATATAAAAAGATATTGTTATACACCTCTATAGCTATTAAACATAGGAAGATAGATTAATCCGAGCAGACTTGGCATTCTTGAACAAAGAAAAGTCTGAATTATTGGTATCTACTTCTTGGCAAACCCAAAATGTGAAAAAAGATAAAAACCTTAAATATCTTAACCAAATGAATACAAGAAGTGAATCAATGGAATTGGAACATAATAGTTTTGGGAGACTTAAATGGTACATCAAACCCATCACTAGATAAATTCAGCAACAGAAGACTAACCATCTCAAACAAACTCTTAGGATCTCAAATAGAAGTACTTATAAACAATAACCTTGAAGACATCTTCCGAATCCATAATCCATAAAAAAAAGAGTACACATGGAAGAAAGAAGATAACAAATATTGAATTGATCAAGTATAGATCAGTCAAAGCACCATCTGGCAAAGCAACAAGGCTACCATTGAGAATATGACAAATCCCCTAATAAGTAGTGATTATACTTCCATGGTAACAGATATCGAAGTCTGGAAACTAAACACAAGAAAGAAAGCAATACACCATAAATCAAACCACAAATACAATTGGCATCTCACCAATACAGAATAATAGACAAAATTTTCCAGGGAAATCAAAGAAGGTCTGATCAAACACCAAATAACACAAGAATCAACAGATAAAAAATAGAATGTTCTATATAACCACATCCTCAAAGTAGCAAAAAATAATATTCCTAAAAGGAAACACTATCTCAAAAAGAGAATACATCTAGATATACATAAACAGAAGGACCTTCTGATAAAATTACAAATGTGAAAAAACCAAATCTGACAAATTTACGGAGATACATATTGGCTATGATAAAAATATCAGAACTAATAGAGAATCGCTTTTCAGATTTGATGACATAACTTAAAAAAATTTAAAAAGAACATCCAAAGGAGTATCCCCAAGAATGAACAAGTGTAATCCATTGAAATATCAAAGTATACAAGATTGTAAACAAAGCCATT